GTCCTATTTTAAGGGGAAATGTCGGTTGAATAACGTTAAGTCTGGTAAGTAACAACAAGGGGGGAAAAAGAAGTGATAGGATAAACTTACGGAGTCAAAACTCCATCCCTGATTTGAAACATTTCGGAATTAGGTTTCATTATTTCCAGATAAACTCCTGCAGCTTCTAAGTACTCTTTTAAGTGCGATGGTAGTTTCATCGCGAAAAAGGCATTTAACTTAAACTACTTACGCAGTAGTATTTTTATGTCTCCCACATTCTCAGCGAGCGTGGACCTAGTTATATTTGCCGGCTCCTGAGGCTGAGACGAGCCAGAAACGCAACCTAGACTAGAGCACAAGTTCTACTTAAAATGAAAGTCGGTAAGTCACCGGGAGTAAGAGCTTGTAAGCCTGGCGCTGCAGCTCTACGGCCTCGAAGACTCTGGGTGGGAAAACATGGCCCGGCCTTTACCTCCACTTCTTGGAAAATACGGGGGATCCCCGCGCGACCCAGTCTGAAGCCCGGGTCCGAGCGGCCGCGGCGGCGCGGCCAAAATGGGACGGGAGCGGCGGGCGCCGGAGGCCGTTAGCAGGCCGCGCGCACACGCGGCTTTCGCGCCTCCAGCCTCTGGGGCAGCCCAGCCTCCCGCTCCCGGCCCACACCGTTCAGACTGTCCCCTCACAGTCCTCACCCCGCCTGGTCACCTCCTCACCTCACGAGCTTCATCTTAGCGGCGCCGTCACCCTTTCGGTCGGATAGCGAACAAAACCCAGCAACTGAGCGCCGACCGGCTACGAATATGAATGGCCGGAAACACTTACTCCTAGGGTTCCGACGTAAAGAGCGCGCGTACCGGTGCGGACGCACAGCGGAAATGCCGAGACCACCCTTGAGCTCTCCCTTCCGGCCGTGAGAAGCGCCACTTCGGCCCCTGGCGGCTGGAGGTGTGCCTTGCAACTGCTGAGGGGGTTTAGGGCAGCTTTAGGAGGAAACTTCCGGTAAGAGGGAAATTTGAGGAGATTAAATCCCATTAGCGGGCATGGCAGGGCTCCGTGTATTCAGCAGCACGAAATTTACTCAATGAAAGGAAGTTCTGGGAGAAGTCCAGAGGATTATGCTAACTCTGCTCCAACACCAGGAACCTCAACATTACTTAACGTGCCTGAAAAAAAATCACACAATTTTTTTTTAATGTCAACTTTTTAAAAATTTAATTTTATTTATTTTTGGCTGCGTTGGGTCTCTGCTGCTGCGCGCGGGCTTTCTCTAGTTGTGGCGAGCGGGGGCTACTCTTCGTTGTGGTGCGCGGGCTTCTCATTGCGGTGGCTTCTCTTGTTGTGGAGCACGGGCTCTAGGCGCGCAGCTCAGTAGTTGTGGCACACAGGCTTAGTTGCTCCGCAGCATGTGGGACCTTCCCAGACCAGGGCTCGAACCCGTGTCCCCTGCATTGGCAGGCGGATTCTTAACCACTGCGCCTCCAGGGAAGTCCAGAAAAATCACACAATTTAACTGATTATTTTCACTTTAAATTCTGGTCACAATCCTCAGAAGGGTTCCCCACAGTGCCCAGAGATCCAGAGATCATGTTATGCTTCTCTAATGGATACTTTCTCCTTTAGCCTAGGTGATCTCCAAAACTACGGCTTTAATTTGTATCTCCAGCTTGGACTTCATCCCTGGTCATCAGAATTCTTGAATGTTGTGAGGCAATTCTCATCAAACATTAATGTGCATAGGACTCAACTGGAGGAAATATTAGAATGAAAATTCTGATTCCGTTGGTATGGGGTCTGAAATTCTGCACTTCTAACAAGCTTTCAGTTGATGAAGATGCTCCTATTCCATGGATCTCAATTTGAGTAGCAAGACTGTAATGGACATATGTGTGCTGCCTTCTCAACATCTATCTCCCTGTCTTCCGAACAGTTCCTAATAATCTCCTGGTGATCCAATGTGGACCAAATTGCTATAATTTTTCTTTGTTTTTATTTTCTAGCTTGAAAATTTTTTAGGATTTTTACTCTCTCATAAGTATAAAACTGTCAAGAGTCCTGAAATAAAGTCATCAAGAATGGAGCAACAAAGGAAAAGCCTTTATTTGCTGCTAGCAGGAGGGTCAGTCTGAAAGTGAGACTACTCTGTCTTCTTGGAGTTAGCTGAGGTTTTATATATTACAGGCATTTAGATTGGTCATAAGAAAGAAAAGGAACAAGGAAATAAGAATGCAACATGTGGGGCAATACAACCATTCCATCATTAGTTTTTAGAAGTAGATGTGTTAATGATAAGCATGCGCAAAAAAGTACGTTCTGCAATTTGGAGTGAGCAAGGAAAGCAAACAATTTAAACAAATCCAGATTACATTCACAATTTTAAGTTTGGCAAAAGAATTTACAAGTAGGGGCTTATGTTTCTTGTGTAGGGTTCTGAAAAAGAACTTCACAAATTTACAGAACCATAATGTTCAGCACCAAGATGCATCATTTAGGCCACAGCATTTGTTTTTAGCATGTGCACATGGCAAAAGATTAACCAATCACAGCTCTCCCCCCCGGGGACTTTCTCAAGAGCTCTCTGGAATGGAAGCCTCTATTTTTACTAGGATAAATTCGCTGTGAGCTTATATGATCCTTGAAAGCTCAGTCAAGCAAGATAATTTACTCACTGGATCATGATTATTTTTTAGTAGACAACAAATCAAACGACCCAACTCTGAAGTGTATAATACAGTATTGTAAAAGCAAACTATTTTATATTTTCACAGCATGCTTAAACACCTGATTGTATTTAGTTTTAGAAAAGAAAACCTAGAACAAATTGCAGACAGGAATTATACATCAAATATGAATTCCTTATGTATCAAAAATAAATACATAAGATTTCATATGGTGTGACATTTGTAAGGATTCCAACGCTCCTGATTGTGGCCAATACAAGTAGAGTGGAATAGATTGCTCAGGAGCAGAGGCCCTGGGACTTCCCTGGTGGTCCAGTGGTTAAGACTCCATGCTCCCAATGCAGGGGGCCCAGATACCATCCCTGGTCAGGGAACTAGATCTCGCATGCAGCAGCTAAAAGATCCCGCATACTGCAACTAAGACCAGACGCAGCCAAATAAATAAATATTAAAAAAAAAAAAAAGGTGCCCTCGTGGCGCAGTGGTTGAGAAACTGCCTGCTAATGCCGGAGACCCGGGTACGAGCCCTGGTCTGGGAGGATCCCACACGCCGCGGAGCAACTGGGCCCGTGAGCTACAGCTACTGAGCCTGTGCGTCTGGGGCCTGTGCTCCGCAAAAAGAGAGGCCGTGATAGTGAGAGGCCTGCGCGCCGCGATGAAGAGTGGCCCCCACTTGCCACAACTAGAGAAAGCCCTTGCACAGAAACGAAGACACAACACAGCAAAAATTAATTAATTAATTAACTCCTACCCCAACATCTTTAAAAGAAAAAAAAAAAAGCAGAGGCCCATTTTTTGGAAATGGAAACTTGTAAATATGGTTTGTGTATGTGTGTATGCCACAATTTGAGTTACTACAGATAAAGTGGTTTACACACAAAGAGAAATCCCACCAATTGTCTGACAATCTGAAGGTGAAGGCAAATATAGGTCAGATATTCTATCAACAGTAGATAACCAGCTTTAATCAGGTTGGCAGTCTACTCCTGAGTTTTTCCCCAATTTAAGCCGTTTGGTATATGCCATTAAAGTATATTGTTGACCCCTGAACAACTCTGGCGTTAGGGGCACAGAGCCTCTGCTCAGTAGAAAATCCATGCATAACTTACAGTCGCCCCTCCGTATCCCCAGTTCCACATCCTCCGACTCAACCAACCAGTTGATGATGATTGTTTAGTACTCCAGTACTTACTACAGGGAAAAAAAAAAAATCCCCGTATAACTGGACTTGTTTAAACTTGTGTTGAACAAGGGACAAATGAAAGTATCAGGCACTGGGGATGGGCGGGGGGGAAGACAGGTTTTTGCCATAACACAAGGTATGGTGATGTGACCAATGGCTTCACCCACCAATAATTCTCATTTTGGTTTTTAAACCACAGAACCTCCCCAAACTAAACTGACAGGCAGCTCAATAAAGTTTTGTGGAAGATGTATTCTCATAAAAACATCAGGCTTCGCAAACTTAGAGCACATTTTGGCTGGACTTGGCTTCAAAAAAGGAGGGCCGGAAGTGGAGAACCTCTCTTCAGATTCTCAAGGGCAAGAGCACCCATTTGCCCATCCTCACAGTTCTGCAAATAAGGAAACAGTAGCACAGAGGGCGTGTTCAAAAGCAGGGTAGAACCAAGAATCCTAGTGCGAGAACCCTGGATTCTATCTTTAGAGGTCTCTAAGAGTCAAAGCTTTGAACACCCGCCATGACTAAACGTGGTGGAATTTTCTACAATTTCTTGTCGACTCTCGTGCTCTGATGCCCAGGGAGGAAAGTGTGCAAGGAGACACTGAAGCCCTGCATTTTAGGGAGGCGCTGGAGTGCAGTGCCGGGAAGGAGAGAGAAGGGTCAATCGTCCACCCTTTTCTTTACATTGACCCCTGTCGAGGATTAGAGGTATCTGAACTGAAAGTCGCAGAGAGCAGTACCTGCAACCAACAGAAGAACCAGTGGCGACGGATTTTCAAGACAAACCACCACCGCTGGGGGCGTAGGTGGCTTTACTCCAAGAGACGAGCGGGTAAAGGGAAGAGTCTGCCGCTATCCGGAGAGGCGCCCACCCGCGGTGCGCGCACGCGAGGCCTCCCACCGCGCCTGCGCTGCGGTCAGACGCTGACTCGTCTTTCCCTGACGCCCAGCAGTCCGGGCCGGGGTGAAAAACTGCGTGACACGCAACGAGCGTGGCGGCCATCTTCATCTTCTGGGCACGTCAGCTGAGCCGGTTCAGGCAGAAAAGGAGCGTTGCGCAAGCGCGCCCAAGACGGTCCCAGGTAACTCCCATCTGACGGGCGAGGCGTAGCCGTCGTCGCCGGAAGTTTGGCGTTGCTGCGCCGCGGGAGAGGCGGTGGTGGCGGCAGAAGCAGCTGAGTGTCTCCCGATACCCGGATGTGAGGCGGTCTGCTATCTCTCGTCGGACTCTTGGCCCGGAGCGAGGAAGGTACGGTAGCGTCCCGACCGCCCCGCCGTCTGCTGTCTCGTCGCCAGCGTCCTCGCCTCCCTGTTGCCAGCCCCTCCGGAGAGTCGGACGCTTCTCCCCCTTCCTGTCCGCCCCTCTGTGTCGTGCTGCCTCGCACGCCCTTCCTACTCCTCGGGTCCCGGCTCCTGGCGCCCCTGGGAGGGAGTGGGCGGCTCGGAGGCGCGGTCGCCTGAGGCAGGCAACCAACCTGCGCGGCTCGGCTGCCCAGTCGCCGCATCACCTGCCGCGGCCTGCTGGGTGGTCAGCGGTAGTAAGGGGCCATGGCCGAGGACTGGGTCAGGCCGGGGCTCCCAGGCGGCCGCGCGGGCTTCCGGAGCCCCCGAGGTGGCGTGCAGCCTTTGCGGCGGCCGGGGAGGTGTCGGCGCCGGCCCGCAGGTTGCCCGGCCTCGTCCCCACCCCCGGCGTCTTTCCTTCCGTGCGTCTCCCCCGAACCCGCCGTTCCAGCCCTGGCGGAGCTGCGGTCCTGCGGCTCGCTCCCCTGCCCGTCGCCCCCCGCTGACCCTGCGTGAACCCTGAGGCCTCTGCAGTCTGCTGGGCGGGATGTGAGGATCCTGGCCTCACGGCCCTTAGACTGGGAGGGGAGCGGTGGCCCGGGTCCAAGGTCATAGTGTGGTTCTGGTTGGACAGGACTGTCTGGGCTCAGGCAGGGCTGCTCTGGAGAAGAAATTGGGTGTGTTGAGGGGCATAGTGAAGTTTGTAGAGATAGATGCGAGCAGAAGGGAATTGGGTCCTCGATTTTGATCACTATTCTTAAGATTGTTTTATAACGGGGGTTTGTTTTTCTCGGGCAGAATGGGAGAGATAGCAACTCCAGAAACTGGAGAACATTGCCACTCCCAGACCCTTAACCTCCCCCTCCCTCATCCCCAAATGTTTTGTTTTGAAAACCCGCACGTACGGTATTTTCCAGGAGTGGGGGCGGGGGAGGAGGAAGGAGTTAAATCCTTGAGGTTTTAGAAGCACTGTGCATCTTGTTTTCGGGTAGCCTTCGGTAGCTGAAAAGGGATTCTTTTAGCAGGAAGTAGTTGCAGCACACAGTATTTGAATAGTATTATCAAACGATGTTTCAGTAAATAGCCTTAACAGAAATCAGTAAAAGAATGCTACTTAGTGGAAGAGTAGGATGTCGGTGTGCTTTGTTTTTTCCTCACCTAAACGTTATTTAAAAAAAAAAAAAAAAGGTAAAACACAATTTCAATTTCAAACATTTTGGATGCCGTGAATTATGTTATATTCAGCCTCTTCTGATTAAGTCCTTAGTTTCTGCTTTACACAAGGGATCAATACCAATGGAACTTTTTTAATTTGAAAAACTTTAAAAAATCTCACCGTGGAATTAGAAATGAGAGTGGGATAAAAAGTGCTTAATTTGGAATCTGCAAATTCAGACCTAGAGCATGTGCAGAAATGAGAAAACTGTAACAGACACTTCCCCCTTTTGGGCAGAATGCAGTGTATGCCCCTTAGGTCAGATGTGTGTCTTTGGAAGTACCCTTCTTAGAACAAAACCTCCCTTATGTTATGAGCTTCTGCCCACCTTACTAATTCCCGGGTAAAGAAAATATGCTGTCATTTCTCGTTGATTAGTATTATAATTCTGTAGTTAAAAAGTAGTTTTTTTTAATGTCAGACCCAAACAAGATTTTGTGCTAGGCCTTTAAATCGGTAAATTATGCTTCCAGAAGAACTGAAAAAGGACCCTAATTAATGGATGTCATTAACCTCTTTTGCTGGATGGCCCTTTTTAGCCTGGTAATTCATCACAGCACAAAGCTGACTGTAATTATTCTAATAATGAAGGAGACTAGCATTGCACAATGGATTTTTTTAATAGTTAAATATTTTTTCGTGAGTTTTGTTAGCAGATTTATGTTACATGTTGAGTAATTTGAATAACCTCAGCTGAAGGTGATCAGAAGTTTAGATGGTAGGTAGAAACCAACTCCAGTAAAATTGTTACCATACATAATTCAATTAAGGGCTCTGTTAACCCCTCTGAAGCTCAGCCTTCAATGTTTTTCTGTGCATCCCTTTTTGTTGGCACAGCAAAAGTTCTTTGGCTCTATTTCTGCATAAGTTCTGTATATTAGCTACTGTGGTTACTTTTGATAATAACATCATTCTGTTTACTTGACCATCCTGTCTTTTTTGAGGGAGCTACATCTTAAGCTTAACTTCATTTTAGTACACCTGAGGAAATCAAGATTTATGTCATCTGCTTTCTTCAGCTTACTTTAAAGATTTATGGCTTCATATGTGAGATTCATGAGAGATAAAACTCAGAATATAAATTAAAAATGGGGTTTTAAGTATTACTTTAATTTTTATTTAATTAATTAATTTATTTTTGGCCTCACCTCGCAGCTTGCAGGATCTTAGTTGCCCTACCTGGGATGGAACCCTGGCCTTGGCAGTGAAAGGGTGGAGTCTTAACCACTGGACTGCCAGGGAATTCCCTTAAGTATTACTTTAATATAGTGGTCTCAGACTTTTTGGTCAGGACCCCTTTACATTCTTAAAATTATGTAGGACTCCAAATAGCTTTTGTTTTATGTGGGTTATATCTATTCACAGTTACTGTATTTGAAATTAACAAGTATATTTATTAATTCATTGAAAAATAAATAATAAACTAATTGCAGGTTCATATAAATAACTTTTTAAATGAAAAACTATTTTCCAAAACAAAAAAAATTAGTGAAAGAATGGCAACTGTTTTACATTTTTGTAAATCTCTTTAATGTTTGGCCTAATAGAAGACAGCTGGATTCTCTTATCAGCTTCAGCATTCAATCTTGATATGTTGTTCTGGTTGAAGCATATGAAGAAAATCTAGCTTCACACCAGTGTGTTGGGAGGAGTACTTTAATAACATTTTCAGATAATTGTGATACTCTTCTTTGACTCTACAACAAAACTCAACAAGTGGTAATTGCCTTTTTTTTTAATAAAGGTGTTTTTTTTTTCCTCTTAATATTTATTTATTTTGGCTGCACCAGGTCTTAGTTGTAGCATGTGGGATCTTCCTTGCAGCGTGCCCGATCCTTTTTTAGTTGCATGTGGGCTCTTAGTTGTGGCATGCATGTGGGATCTAGTTCCCTGACCAGGGATTGAACCTGGGCCCCCTGCATTTGGGATTGCTGAGCCTTACCCACTGGACCACCAGGGAAGTCCCAACAAGTGGTAATTTCTTAAAGGTTAGTTGCAATGTGGAATCTGAAACTGTATCTATATACTTTTCACACAATGTTGCGTTAAATTTCATTGGTCTGTTTGTGGTTTGAATTGATCTTTTACCTGTGTATGATTTTGATCCCATGAACCCCTTGAATGGGTCTCTGGAATCCCCATAGTCCCTGTACCGCACTTTGAGAACTGCTGCTTTAATGTAAATAATTTAATAGTTTAGAATTAATGTAATTATTGAAGCTGAAAGGGATAAAGGTAATATGGAAATAGAGTTGATAACTAGTTAAGTGAAATGAGTAACTAAGGTAAATATATTTTTTCATGTTTTCTTTTCATCAAAAATATTATATCAGTAAATTAATAAATGCTTATGATGTGCCAGGAACTGTTCTAAGGACTTTATATTAGGAAATATTTCTATTGTATCATCTTTAGTGATGGTTAAGAGAAAGGCAAGTATAATTTATTTTTTTCCCCTACAGATAGTACAGTCTTTCTTCTTTTTTTTTTTTTTTTTTTTTTTTTT